GCGAGGGGATGTACATGAAGCAGATTCCGAGCAGTTCAAGGAGCTCCTTGGTGTGATTCATTTCCAGCCAAAGAACATCACCGAAGTTCACTGTAATATACATCTTTTTTGTGGCGTAGGACCGCGGACACTGGAAATGACATACACTTCATATTAATAGTAGGCCACCAATGTGCATGTCGGATTTTTCGGAAGCATTCGAGACCCAGGTTTGACCTAGGTCTAATTTTTCTGACATCAAGCCAATCAATGTTCAACCTCACGGGGAATTTTTCAAAGTCGGCGGCGGCACTCGTATTTCAGTCACATTTTCCCGGAGCTTCACTCTTGAGTCTCGCCGAGATTGAGTGAACAGTATTCAAGTGGCATCACTCACCTTAGATATTCAGTGCCCCAGGGAACGATTAACGACCTCGATCTGACTTGTGAATCTTCCTCCGAATAATGCATTTCAGTCACTACTGTCTCGCGGGCAGCTCATGCAGACCAGATTTCACTAGATTCAAAGATCGTTGAGAACATCGGATACACTAAACGGCTTCCCATCAGCGAACAACAGATGCGGCTTCGTCTCTGCGAGTTGCAGAATCGCTTCGCCGAAATACGACTGCAGGGAGGGTCAGCAGGGGCGGTGAACTGTAAGAACAGTCTCTGACATTCGCCCAAGCACTGCGAGTGCGGTCAGTCTTGATGCCTCATAGATGAAGAGAGATAAAAACTTACAACCACGGCCGCGTGTAATCCGCTCCATCGTGCGTATTTACACCTGTGCAGGTTGTTAGTTCCATATTGTTTCTATAAAGGTCCCCACTGCTCACTTTCATGAATCAACCCGAGCCCTGTGGTGGTGTTCTTAAGGTATTCCAATTTCACGAGGATATCCTTCGTCCCCGCGTCAGCGGACTCCAAGCAGCTTTGAACACCAGGGGAAAACACACCGCATCGTCTGTGCCGGTGACGACTTCCGTGATAAGTCCCATGGGCCTGCGCCGAATCAGAGTGTGTAATAGTAGACTGGGAGGCTGAGACAGTACCAAACGTGCTTTTCGTCGATGTGCGGGCTGGAGACGCCGCGGATGACGGGTCCGAAGCCTACGCTGAGGATGAGATCTATGTGCGAAAAAGAACGGAGTACGGAAGCTGACCGTAATACGGGTTTCCCTGTGGCGATAGCAGCATTTTGCGCGTGTTCGCGTATATTTGGTTCGTGGCGTTCGCGAAATCGAGGTATGGGATAGAAACGAGTGACGGCACGTTCGCGTCTGAACGGAATGAGACAGTCAACCTCTTTCCACAAGGAAGCAATGCGCACCATCTTGGATAGCGGTCCCTCCGAATCCTGAATTTCACGTTACTTTCCGTACACGCAAGGAAGGCAACGAGACGCACCATCAACCTCATACGCAAACACCTCGCCCCAGTCCTTGGTCAACACGGTGCCCCACTTCCACAGGGCCGTCTCGACGGTATTTGCGCGCTTGGTCGCAGTGGCCTGGAGATCCGGGCGCAGCTTCACCTGCTGAAGCAGAGCCGCGAGTCCGCGGAGCTCCACCACCGCCATCGCCTGGTGCGGGATGTTGTACGGGAAGGCGACGACGTCGTCTGCGCGGATCAGAATCAGATTTCCGCATGTAAGTTGAGGGGATGAGACGGTACCTGAGGGACGATACGTCGTGCCAATCTAAAATCCCATGAATAACGGGATCGAAAATTCAAAACCCTTGGGCGTGAGGACACACCAGTCCCGTGTTCGCCTTGGGCGGCCCGCGACCGTCGTTCTTCATGTACTGCTGATTCGGCCCGCTCTGGAGAGGAACGAGATTAACCCGACTGATGGGCGGGGTCACCGGACTGCAATGCGTACAATGTTATAAAAAGATATGACGTTCCCGCCCGCGTCGTACGTCGGGATGGCCTGGTCCTCGATTACCTGCAGCACGTTTTCGACGGCGTTGAACCCTGGCAGAGATACATGGTAAGCTCCCAATCCTGTGGCGTGAGTTTCAGGCAAGATTCCCACATCCGCCGTTGTCGAACGTGAAGATTGATCTATCTTGCGAGAACTCATAATAGCGCCGGCTGAGCTGCAGGAAGCTGAGAAGCGAGTCCAATTCGTACTGCGGCCAGGGGTTAATGGACACAGGGTCTAATATTGAACGCGGGGCACGTACCCCGCACGTCCACACAATGGTCAGATTGTCCGGCGGAGAGACACTCGCACCGGTATCGCCGCTGCAGCATTGGGGAGGTAACCCCTGTGTAGATGCTAAGCTGGTGCACAATGTTAAGGATTGGAGTGTGGTACATACGGATTCGGGGGGCGGCTGGAACGCGTTGCAGTACGGGTACTCCGTGATGTAGCGCGCTGTCGGGAGGCTACTGTTAGAAAGTTTCAAGATTTTACGGCGGCACACCCGTACCTTGCAGGTTGATCACCCCACGCGTCAAATGCTGCAGCTTCGTGTCCTGCGCCATCAGAGGGAGGTACACCTTGAACTGATTGCTCGAGTCGCGGAGCCACTCCGCGGGGATGTCGCCGGTCACGACGAACGTGAGGTTGTCGTTAAACCACTTGATCGTCGTGTCTAGTGTGTTGGGATATGTATTCTCGAATAATCTATGTATTTCATCGGATGATGAATATAGCTAGATCGCAGACGCAATCGCATGCATACCTGGCGAGATCGTGGTCCATCATTCTGCTGGTGAGGTTTGCGACGACCTTCTCCACTGCGGAGCTGTTGAAGGTGCGGCATGCGGGTGCAGGGCGCATGTACGGTAGCCCCAGGGGCCCTGCAGTACTGTGAGTATGCTGAAGGACATCGGAGGAGATAGGTGGCGATACCATGCGATGGGGTGCCCTCTGGACGAGTCGAGTACGTCGCAAAGTCCTCGCAAGTTTGGAGTTCTGGTACAGTCGTGGCCCAGACGAGCGCCAGAGACACCAGCAATCCCAGAGCTTTGAGCATCGTGTCGCTCGCCGATGTAGTAGATGATAGAACTTAGAAGCAGGCGAGATGTTCTGTCACGATTTGGTCACGATGGTTTTGAGGATCGTCTTGAGATCATCATGGTTACGTTGTAGACTCGCGAGTCGCTACCAGTACGTTTTGATAAGCCATCAGTTGATCACGGCAAGCGGGGGATCAAGGCTTCCTAAAACGACTGGAACATTTGGGTCCCGATTTGGGTGGACCCGCCAAACATGAGTTTGGACTTAGAATATTTTTGTTGTCTACCTCAAAAGAAAGTGTAAAAAGTGCCTCAATGAATATTGCTTATTTTTCATTTCTACATCGAACGAAACCAACTTGCCTTTTGACTTGATTTAACCATTCACATGTCTCTTTTAGTCTGTAGTTTACCGCGTGCCTGATGTAGGGAGCTCGACCTTATTACATAATCATCGGACTTTGAATTTCCGACGAGGCTCCCCTGCTCCAGCGGGGCGATGGATGGCATAAATTTGGAATCCAAATCGCTTAGAATGCGAAAGCAACGGAATTTGCGTCCTCAGAATTCTGCTTACAGATGTCGTTGAGGTGTAAAAGTGTTACCGGCCGATTCACATCAAAATTCGGCCTCGCCGTTCTGCCATCATCTGGAAAAAATCGGGTGGCAAAGTGGCTGATTCCCATACATATTTTTATAATCCAAAGAAAAATCCACCAAAAACGCGCTCTGACCCTCAAATCTGTGTCCGAGAAATTTGAGATTACATAATAAGGCTGACCTCCAATCAACTGATCAAGGCACTCAACAGACTACAACATGCGAGGTACGAGCTTTTTCTGTTGTAGCGTCTGTCTACGAGAGACTATGTCTCTTTCCACCGTCTCCCATGTCCGACTTCTATTTCTGGCCTACGCGAGCTTCTGAAACCTTAGGAAACTAAGTCCGACACATTTATGATGTACCATTGCTATTCTGGGGCCCGCGCAACTGACTACGAAATGTACTAAAGAAGTTTGCTGTCCTGTCAGCATCATCCTGGATGAAACTCGCAGCGTCAAGAGCTCGAATGTCCTCCGGTGTTCTTGCTGGGGCTCTAGTTTGGCGTCGTGCTGTTGAAGTTCCCTGGGAAGTGGAATGGGAGTGGGCTCGGCAGTGGACGTCGCTGCGGTGATTTGCGGCTCAGTGATGTTTGGCCGTTTGGACGTAATCGCTGCACCGTCTGCCTCGCTTCCTCGTTCGGGCCCTCGCTTCCTCCCTCGCTTCGATTATAGTACACAATACCTGCTTGCTCGTCATTGTGCTGCTACTATAACGGCTGGATACGAGCCTAGGATGGGACGGTGGGTTGGGACGATGGGATCATTGGGATCGCCTCTCAGTATGTTTAAAGTTAAGTTGAGGCTGATGGTAGCTGACAATAGTACATAGGGGGTACAATAATACCAAGTTCAACCCTGACAGGGAATATAAATATTGTATTGAGTGAACATTGCCCTTAAATGGGGCATATTGTAAATGTTCATTGTTCATTTTGGCTGTTCACACACCTCAAATGGTGTCAACTGTGCCATGTACAATATGCAATAAAGTATTTTTGACGATAAATACCGTCATAGATAGAGGACAGTCGGAGGTGAGCCGCATGCTTACAGTTTAAATCCCGCTGCATGTGAACCCATTTTGGCAAACAATCAATTCTTTCGATTCAACAAGGAAATGGACAGAAACATCCATCACTGTGTTGCAAAATCATTTCCCCCACCTCGAACATATGATGATCTTCTCCGAAGAATGTCATCACCGCTGTGTCCAGACTCTGTCAGGAGTATTGATTGACTTCCCAGAGCTTGAAGTGAAGTGGTGTACTTTGATGATTGAATATGCATATGTACAGTTGACTGGGTCGTAACATAAGTTAATAAATAATGTATGATCGCCATAGCGCATAGTGTTTGGGAGTCTACTAAACTAAGATTTGAGGAGAGGCGCGTTGTACTAGTCGACGGAGATAAAAAGGAAGGTCAGACAGAGCCAAGAAGAAAAAGTGACCCGACCCGGGCTCGAACCGAGGACCGCCTGCGCACAATATTAGGTAAAGAATTACCATGTGAAGCAGATGTGATAACCAACTACACCATCGGGCCGCTGTTAGTAATGGTATCAGCCCACTATCATAGCGCCAATCAGGCGAACGCGATGGGCGATCCACCTTCCACGGTCGATTTGACGACGTAACGTTCGAGGCGACCCTTGAGCGCGATGCCGAGCCATCGGACGAATTCCTTGGTGATGTCTGGGGAAGGAATGAGATGAGATGATGATATACGAGGGAAGACAACGCACCCCAAGAAGGCAGCTGTGCGCCAATGACAATGGCTGGAAGCGTGTCCTTTTCGCGGTGGTTCTTTACAAAGAGGGCCCAAAGCTTCTTGGTTCGTTCGTGCCCTTCGAGGGTGGGTCGCACGAGCTTCTTGAACTGGTATGTGCCTTCGAGCGACACGGTCATGGCTTCTTGCGTGGTGGCATCGGCTTCTGCGAGACGTTGGGTAAAGAGCTGCTCCTCGGAGAGTCGTGGGCCGGAGAGGCGGGGAATTATAGGTAACTAGAGTAGCATACAAATGAAGGTGGTGGTGGCCGGGAACAAGGAGCGAGGGAGGCGAGCAAGGGTTTATCTAGACGTGGCGCGGAGTTAGAAACCGCGGAGTTTGAATTGATAACCAACTACACCATCGGGCCGCTGAGACATGGTATAGTAGTGCGGTGTGTTAAGACGCATCGCATTTAACCACCCAAGTTTGAACGAGGATTTGCCAATCCGAAGCAGAATCGATAACCCTACACCATCGGGCTGGGTCATAAAGAGCTGTTCCGAGTGCCGCTTGGTCGTCGACCTACGATTGGTGGAATATATCTGAAGCAGCCCAGTAGACTGCCAATTGTTATGTTTGTAATAAGAGACTAGTTCTAACATAGGCCCCTAGCGGAACGAACCTGCAGTGGAAAGATGTGATAAACAACTACACCATCAGCGCCAGTGTCGGAGAATGAAATCATTGAGGGCTTTGATAAGCAAGGACACCATCGGACAATGACCATCTACATCCCCACCAGGACTTGAATTCTATTTTATCATGGTGCAGCATCCGGGAAGCAGTTTTTCTGGTACGAATGGGTGTTGCTCACTATCTTGGCTGATATCGCTACTAGGTTCGGGCTACTCGGCTCGGTGTTTGCGTCTCTCAGATTGAGTATTACACACGAAACTAGCATGCTTACCTGCCAGACTGACGCGGAATGCTGAGTGGCGAGTAGATAATCGGCGGTGCTTTCCAAGGTTCAAGGTCGTCGACTTGGGTCACAAACATCCGGAGCTTGTGGATATGGGACTTGCGCGGTTCGCGGAGACGCTGTGTGGGGAGGGCTGCGCTAGCCCAGCGGCAATCACTGAATACGATTCGAGCTCACCAAATATCAACCGCTATTCAACGTTGGCATCCCAACAGCCGATCCGCTACCCTGCCGGAGGACTTTATACTGTCACTCATGGAGTCTCCCTTGCTTTCCCAAGAGTGTGACCGCAAACTCGGACGGGACACTGGGCGGTGAATTAAAATACTCGCGTGTTAACGGGCACCGCTGCTTGCTTATCGCCATCTTACGTGTGATCTGGCGCCTAGGTCACCCTTCAGTCAGTTGGTGCAAGGAGATATATTGAGATTATGCACACCCCACGGTAGATTTTTTTCACGACACGGGTGTGGGCGGAGTTCTGAGGACAAGCTCGGCCTTGACGGGGAGTGTTAACGATGATGTCGCACACAGGTCTGAGCGCTCATGGCCCGGTCCGCATCTAATTTAGACCTATGGTCCCATTCTACATTTCCGAATTCAAAGGTGGATGGTTAGCTGGGGCTTTCGATGATGAACGACTGTTATGTCTGCGATGTGGCGATGGCAGAGGTACAAAAATGCAGTTGTGAGTTCACTGCGAGCGGTAGATAAATGAGAGTCGCATGCTTGTTCCCCCGAGGATGAGGACGTCAGTGAGCAGTTTGGGGGCAGATATGGCTTCATGTGGTGGCCTCATTCAAGCTTTCCAAGTTCCTCTAACCGTAGTAGGACCACATGCTTGCTCGTCTCCTGTATTTCTCCTGCAAGGAATATCTCATCCAGGATTGCGTAGACCTATCACAGCTCATCAGGGAGCTCGGGGCACTGGCTCGCCGCTAACCTTGTAGAAATTGAAAACCAGGTCCAGCTCGTTTACATTTTCGAAATAGTTGTCTGAATGACGAGAATGTTTGGGTGAGCACTCGAACTACACAGTGACGGGGCTATTTACCCAGAACCTCGACAAAAAAGTGGATTGCCTCGAGGTGCGCCAGTTCATTGTCGTTTTCGTCGACGCAGACGCAAAAGAAAAGACCAGCATATCGCCGGTAGACGATTTTGTAGTTGTGGAACTGGTGAAATATGTCAGCGCTGCTACAACCTCCGCCGTGACATGGAGGCGCACCTCTAGAAAGTTGGACTGGTACTTCTGGTCCCTGGAGCTGACAGCACGATGCACTGCCCCGCGTAGACGGACCTGGAGTTGTGCATGAGAGGCATCTCGGATGTCGGTGGGATGATCACCTTCTCGTCGTCTTCGTACGGAACGTACCACTTGGACAATCGGGTCTTGCCCTGACGGTTCTGCATTTCATCTGGTCAATTCCTAGGCAGTTCAGTGGATAAATTCAACAACCTGGACGAGGATGAATCTAATCATGAAGAAAGCCGCAAGAACACAGCCTCCGGCTGGTTGTTGACAAATACAATCAACAAATGACGTGATCGTTTTGACTCAATTTACCCCGGACAGAGGCTCCACAAATTAAAATTCAGGTATAACATATCAACAACTAGTGGGATTATAATTCGGGGGACTGTAGTCGTTCAAATTTAAAAGCATGTCGTCTTTGTGCGATCCGCTGTCTTGACCTTCCGAATTTTAGGGAGGTCGAATTCCTGGGGGAAAAAATGCATGCGATGACGAATCACGATTACGAGCCAAAGGTGCTTACACTCAGTTCAAACTTCATTCGCAAGCGCATCATTCACGATGAGAATGGTAGGTCCCGTGGTCATCCTGGGGAGCGCGCGCAATTCTTGACGTTCGCAGGATGAGTTGACACATTTCTCTTGATTGGTGACAAGAGGTGCGAGATCACTGGATCTCGAATATATTCCCACGGGGTATCTACCCCCCCAAATGAGGAAGTCCTTTGTCAGCGGCTGTCAGCGGCCATCAACAGGCCATCAATATCTCCACCACCCACCACCACGGCTTGATTGGTGAGGTGATTCACAAACAGAAACTTTACTTTCTTTTTGTGCTTAGGGTACCGAAAATGCCCAATCGGCGTATCTAAGTATCCGAAGATCTACCGACACTGCCGACAAGCCGAACAGGTGAACCTCAAGAATTCAAAACAAACAGTTTAAGCACGGTGTTTGGATTCTTTGAACTTTCTTTTGGGTCACGAAGCCCTGGATACTAATTACTGACTGGTGGAAAATGCCCAACAATTAGCCAACAAAAATCGGTTTTATTGAACGAGTATGTGAATGTGTCCAGCCGTGTGAAGCCGGGTGTCGGCGACCTCCGGATTTCAGTGCCGCAGCTCGGCACACCATATGCCGAAGCATGCGGCTTGGCATCTGTCAGGCTCTGCCCCACCTTAACCATCATTCCTTCTCTCTTCCGCTACGCGCTGCTCCCCATGCCTCTCATCTTTCCATCCATCCAAAATGCCACCAAGGGGCTGTCAGGATTAAAATTTCGGATATAGGGCCAGGGGGGGGGGTCCCTCAGAAGGTTGAAAAAAACTTTATACCCTATATTCTGAATGAGGTCCAACCACCCCAGAAACAGTCACACGGCAAATTGGGTGGTTTCGGGGGGCCCCGAAACGTTCCCGAAATCATCAGTTCAAGGACCAATTACAGGAGTCCTGAAAACACACCTGAAATTTTAAATTTCCACGTGCCCGAAGCTGCAGCCGAAACTGCCCAATTCGGGTATGTTTGCGGCACTTCTGATTTGTTTAGTTTTGGATGCAGTTTCGGCCCACCTGAAGCTGCTCCTGAAACTAATAGTTTCAGGAGCACTTTCAGCGTGCCCAAAACTCATTGTTTCGGCAGCCCCGGAGTCGCCGCCGAGAACAATAAGTTTCGGGTATGGGTTTCTGGCGTGCCGAAACTGATTCCAGGCCGGCCGAGACCGCTCTAGACCTAGTTTTTGTAGCGCTGAATCGGGTTCCAAAACTTATTGTTTCGGGAGCCGGCACCGGGCTTGCCGAAGCAATAGGTTTAAGAGTGTGTTCGGATCATCCTGAGAACCAGGATCAGGATCAGGATCCAAGATCGGCGAGACGGTCCGGTAGCTAGTCACAGCTGTCACACATTGATATTTTTTGTCTCGCGCACCTCGATGCGTCGTCCTCACATCCATGACAAAGTCCCAGGCTGGGCATAACGGCCTAGGCTACCGGCAGTCAACACCATCACTGTTGATGTCCATCCGCCATGAGAGGCACATATTTTGACTCCGAGTAGCCAAGCCCTGCAATTCAATCAACAGCATGACAAAGACATGCAGATGGACCCTGAGCTCATTTTAGATCCTCTCGGGGTGCCCGCACATCAGCTCCTCAACCCATTGCTGTCCAGTGAGCTTTGAGGTGTGGTAGGGTTGCACCCAGTACCAGCTACTGCTATAGAGCCAGCAGAGAACTGTGATGAGTTGTACTGCAGTGGCAGCACTATTCATCCAAAGCTGCAGGTGACATCCTGGATGTTGGGAGGCACGGAGAAGACAGAAAAGTCACAAAATACGGGCGGGAATGCATTATCTAGCATTATCTTTCGTTATCTATCGTGATGTATTGTTATCGATTGATGTCGGTAACTTATTGCCGGGTCGCCGACCCTGGATCCTGATCCTGATCCTGGTCGTCAGGATGATCCGAACGCACTCCAAGGCAGGCTGAAGCTGCTCCTGAAACCAATAGTTTCAGAAGCAGCTTCATGTAGCCCTTAACCACATCCAAAACCGAAAAATTCAGACGCGCCGAAAACACACCCCAATCAGGTAGTTTCG